GCAGAGAACTTAGTGTGAAAGTATTCTGGAATGCGAGACAAAATATCAAAATAGCATTTATATCCAACAGTAAAATGAACTAAAATATGCAGCAGGCTTGTGCATGCCAGCGGCGTACACAGGTTGGTTACCTAGTAACCGAGGAGGGAAAATTAATACTTAAGAGCGAAATAAACTTGCAACGAACAATTTGCAATTTTTTCAATTATCATTATTTTTTTATGTCATTTTTCAATATAAGGAGGTGGTTTTAGTGACTATTTCGACACCGTGTTCTGTAGATAAAAATAAGTAAAAAAGGTCTTCTAAATTTGGGTCCTAAAGTGCTTCGTTTCAAACATACAGGGTGTAGAAATTTCATTTTTATTTCGATTTTTTCCAAGAATTTCTAAAATAGCGTCGATATTTGGAGGAAAATTGGTGTCTGGATTGTTTTTGACATGAGAAATTTAATTTCGATATCAATGTGCCTCCTTGTACTTGTAGGGTTATTTTCGTCTATGCTTGTATGAAATTGGTGAATTTTTTATTGAAAAAACTACAGAAATGTATATTTTTTATATACATTTCTGTAGTTTTTTACGTAGAAACGGTCGCTTTAAATACAAAATTATCAATACAAGTCATAATAATTGACAAAAATAATAATTTTGATTAGGTAGTTAAAAGAAAGTTTAGTATAAAATTGGTGAATAAAAAATATACATTAGACAAAGCATTTAAAAACCAAACAAAAGCACAAAAAAATATAAATATAATAAAAAATATCATACAATACAAATCATACAATTCAAAAAAAATGTACGTCATTAAAATTACAAATAGAACATACATGGATATTGCGGAACACAAAAAAAGACATATCAATAAAATTTTATATTAGGAAAATAATTGTAAATGGATATAATCATTTAAGAGTAATAAAATATATACGACTGAACTATTGACTCATAGTGATTTATTTTTCTTATTTTCTCATTATCTTTCTTTTTCATACAAAAATACCTTAGTTGCTAAAAATAAGGACCCAAATTGATATTTTCTAACATAATACAGGCTGGGGCGATAAGCTATTAGGTATTCTTCAAAACAGTTAAAAATACGTAGATAACGTCCATTACATGTAGATAGAACTCATACTGACATCTTGACATCTAAATCAAATTTCTCATGTCAAAAAACACAACTTTTTATCGAAATGTGTAGATTTATTTAGAAATTATTTAAAAAAAAAGAATGAAACAGAAATTAAACTTCTATACCCTGTATCTCCGAAACGAAACATTTTAGGGGATGGTTTTATTCAAACTTTTTTTTGCAGAATAAAAATTTTATCTGCAGAATATGCTGCTCAAGTTTTCCAAATACAATTCGGACCACCCTGTATAAAGAAAAGACTTTTTATTAGTATCTACAGGATTAATGCAGCTAATATAGTATATTCGCAACCAAAACAAAGATTAAATTCTAAAACGTATAATGAAGTGAATTTTACAACGAACACTTAAGTAGTGCATGACGTACGAGAACTCAAACATTACCTAGTGACGATGTGCTACATCACTAAATCGATGACCATCATCATAACACTATACTCCCGTGTCGCTGGGTGATCCTAATGTACCGAGTGACCAGTATTATAATGACGTTCGTAGACCTTCACGCGAAATATTCCTGAAAAAGCAAGGTTATGTGCAGGGGATGATCGTGAGGCCGCGAAACTCCGAACTGCCTTGGGTGGAAGTGTACAGGGGGATACCATACGCCGCGCCACCTATAGGACACTTAAGGTAATACATTTTTATTTACCTTTGTTTTGTGTTTATAATTATTTATAATTATATTAATTATATTATTATAATTATATTAATATTTGCTCTATCGAGTAAAAATTTGCTTGAAAACAGAATATTTTCACATTTCGTGTAAGTAACAATTCTTCTGTATCTGAAAATCTTCTAATGGGAAGAAATGCGGAAAAAAATATATATAATGACATATTTTTACATTATTATCTATTTCAAAGATATTCAACAACTTTTTTTTTAATTTAAAACAAGTTTAATTTTACCATTAATTTGTTTGTTTTGTAGTAATATATTGGTTAGGTGATTTTCATTGGATAACTAATACATTGAATAACACATTGTACTAAATAATAAAATAACATTTTTAAACTTCAATAATTGCTAATAAATATTACGAAATTTCAAAAGAGAAAAGAAACAATAACAATGAGAAATAGCTTCACTACTCGAAAGAACCGAAAATTAATAATTTCGAGACCCGGTTCTTTGATATCTCAAAAGAACCGGGAATTTCCGGTTCTGAACCCTAGTTACCATATTATCAAAAATTATGTTTTTTAACTAAAAACAACAAACATTTCCAGATTTAAAAAAAAATACTTATATTTCTGGGACCAAAATATACTACCCCTAAAAATATTTGATCTTATTTAAGACTCACCCTGTATAGGGCGATTCACGGTTATGGTACGTTATAGCGTTGCCGGAACCGGAACTGTTTATTGGAACCGGTAATTTCGGTACTATGCCTCTAAGGAACCGGGATTTCCAGTTTTTTTTGTACTTTCGGTACTAGCAAATTTTTGTTCAATGATGGTGCAGTTCGTTAAACAGCAAGCAAGGGATGGTTGTCAAAAGCAAAATCGATAAAAAATTGAGGTTTAAATGAAAATAATATCTAATTATTAAGTAATAATCAGTCATGAGGAAATTAACCTGAACACAAACATGATCACAAATGACTCTCAAAAAAAAACTAGAAACACAATTTTTTTAATTATTACTACAACCAATAGCAGCACACAATAAGGCACTCATTTTTTATCAATCCGTCTCTTTGCTGGGACGCAACGCTCGAACCTCGCAAGTTGGCGGGCGGAACATAACTGAAACTATCTGCAATCTGCCGATATTCGACAGATTGTAAAAACTAGCAGAACATATTTGGGAGAGTGCAACTACTATTTTCCTTCTACTATGATAATACCTTCTTATACTACAAATACACATGTCCCTGGATTATCTTTACAAGAGGAAAAACTTTTTTAATATTAACATTTTGAGTAAAATGAATCCTTCATAATCATTTTTGCTTGTTCTAAAATGGTTTAATCCCGTTTATACTTTTCCAAATTTCAATACGCTTTTTGAGATAATTAAAAAATCATGAAAATATGGTTGAATTTTTTCCTAAAAGAAAAGTCCTTAAAATCGAAAGGGTTTTTATGGTAATATAATCTATTTAATTCTTTGATAGATGTTTATTATTAATTTTGATTAACGTCAGATTTTTTATTGTTGTTTAAAGTATCAAATTTTCTGATAACTATTATCACCTTTTCCGATGCATTGAACTAAATAAATTGTGTGCTTCTTTAACTTTTTAAAAGAGCAAAAATATGACGTTAATTAAAATTCTATCGATAACAATCTATCAAAGAAAGAAAACGAAATGATTTTTAGGATTTAAGATTTTTAGAAAAAATTTACCCTAATTTTCACTAAAACGGTATGGAAATTAAGAAAAGTTTAAATGGGATTGATTGTAAAAATTTGAAGTTTGAAAATGGAAATTTTGAATGAAGAATGTATTTTTCTCAAAATGTCAATAATAAAAAAGTTTTTCCTTTTGTAAAGACAATCCGAGGACATACTCTAGGGAAAAATCTGGAAACTATACATTTGTAATTAAACTATACAAAATATAGTCTCTATTATTTAAAGTACGTAATCAGTTATCGAGGTTAAGCAACGGTATGCATGATCATAATTTTATGGGTGACAAATTTTTTTACAGATTTTTTTTAAACTTTTACCAATTAGTATAGAAGAGAAAAATCTGAAAGCATATTGACTGCTTCCAGCTCAGTCCTGAATAAATGTTTTACTCTAGTATACGGCCTCAGTAGCCTGATACGTTACATTAAATAAAGAAAATGGAAGTCCGAAATTTTTCTAGTACTAAATCATTTTCTACCACATTCAAATAAAACAAGCTTATATTTTTTACAGGTTTATGCCACCAAGCAGCACTTTATATACCTGGCAAGAAACAAAGTACGCGTACGAATTTGGACCTGTGTGTCCACAGAAATTTCCAGACGAATCTACAATGACAGAAGAAAGGAAGCGATACTTCTTGAGGTTGAAAAAGTATTTACTCAACGAGAGCGAAGACTGTTTATATTTGAATATTTATGCACCGTACCAAGGTTAGTGTTTGCGTATTATTTTTATAATTTTAGCAGAAAATATTTAGTATTTTTTATAGAGCATTCTAAATAGTTCATGATATTTGAGTATAACTACATTTATCTTTGGATGCGTCTCAAAATTAAATGTCGATTTGTGGATAAAAAAATGTTCTTACCTAGTACATTCTAAATAAGCAAGTAATAATTACAAACTTGATTTATAATTATCGGAAATACTACAATTTTAAAACTGTTTGATTTATTTCTAAACATTTTTCTGGTTCAAAAGAATTTATTTTTAGAAAAATTGGAGATTGTCTGATAATCTTCACAATTATTACTTAAATAAATCCTTTATTTTATGTCAATAATAAAGATTATTTATTACTTATTAGCAATACCTGCCACTTGACGATTTGAATTTCTAGGAATGAACCTGTGCTTCTTAATAGCAATACACAAAATTTTGCAGACTCAGCAAATATAGCTTCTCTCTAGAAATTTAAACCATCTCTTTTCAATTTCACAAACTTTTTGAAAATATTGTTACCGAATCAAAAATAGTACAAATATATTTTTTTCGAAAACAAGTTAACTTGATGAATAGAACTTATTGCTTATTTTACAAATTAAGATTTATAATAATTTTGAAAATTTTTTGAAAAATTTTGAAAAAAACTTTTAGAAAACATAAAAATATTAATGTTTGAATCTTTTGGTTTTGTGAACCCTTGATTATCAGCGAATTTTGAAGATGGTTAAATCTTTGCCTATATTTAATTATGCAGCATAAGCTCAAAACAGCGTAACATTCCTTTTCCAAATCGGTGACTAGGCCAAAATCTACAATTTTTATGACTATATGCATGGAAAAAAGTCGAAAATTTGCCCATTTTTGAACTGTTTTAACTGTTTTCAAGGCTCTCAGAAAAATTAGTAAACCTGTATGTAAAATTCTGAAAATCTCAAGGTTTCTAGGAAATTTTATTTAGTTTATAGAGATATTAAGGTTTAACTGTCCTGGTTTTGGGTGTTAAATTCGAATTTGTGAATTCTTGTTTTATGATCAATTTTTGAAGATGGTTAAAACATTACCTGCATCTAATACCGTACCCGTAAGCTCAAAACAATCTGGACAATACAGAAATACTGAATGAGGAAAAATATTATACAATAAACAATACATAAACGACAATAAGAATAGGAAAAAAAAACAACTTTCTGTAATCTGTATCAACTGTCTCGGCTGCTGGGAGAACGATGTTGTTAGCAGTGTCAAAGTTGTTGATGTAGTTCTTGCTAATGATCAACGTTTGAGTCTTGATGTTTTGACTTGATATATACTGTTAGTTTTTTTCTAGATTTTTATCTTCTAGTTATTCACTGTTTTTAATTACGGAGCAAAGTGTTAATATTTATTTACTTAACTGCCTTGCAGATTTTGACTTTGTTCTTTTTAGTTCCCATTTAGCATTTTTTGATGGCTTACTATTAGCAGATATTTTGTTTTTAATTATTAAGTATTTAATAATTACACTTTAAAAATGATTGAAACTATGCATTTCATTGAAATAACTATTCTTAAAATAACTATAATTAAAGAAAACGTTGTTTTACGTCTGGGTATTTACGTTAATATTAATAGTAATGCTTAACTTAGTCTGCAATCCAGAATTCTGAGATATCTTATTTTTAATGAGACAGTATAGTGTTTCTTAAGTCTCATTTTTAGCAGTATTTTATTTTTATTTCCTCTATTAACAGTTTTACTTCGGTATGAATACTATTACAAGATCTACTTTATTCTTGTACATCTTGTAATAAGCGAGTAAAGTAGGTCTCAAAGTAAATTTAGCAAAAACTAGTAGGTAGTGTACAACGAACTAGTAGACAGAAAAGACATTCTTATAAATAACATAACACTGGAAATAGTAGAATATATATATTTGGGACAACTAATCCGCATCTCGGGATCTCTACTACCAGAAATCAAAAGAAAAATTAAGTTATCAAGGAGTATTTATAGAAGAAACACAATCAAATGCAAATCTAGAATGCCCCTTTATCTAAAGAAGAAAATGTTTGACGAATGTGTACTACCAGTCAGAACATATTATGCTTGCGAAACCTGGATACTTAAAACGGACGTTATAAGAAAAATACAGGTCGAACAACGCTCGAGGGAACGAAATATGATGAGACTATCCAAGAAAGAGCGGAAAAGAATAGAGTAGATATGACAAAAGACACAATGGTAAGAAGACCATGGATCACAAAAATTACAGCATGGTATCCACGAGGAATTAAGAGACCTAGAAGAAGACCAAACCTGAGATGGGACAATGGTATTAGGAAATTAGCAGGGATAACTTGGGACCGCATAGGCAGCAATGGAGCCAATTACAATGATAGTATCTAAATATATGTGGGAGGCTACACATAATTGGTAATGGTTGAATAACCGGAAAATGATGATGATTATAATTATTACAAGGCAAAATAAGTATCTTTGTATGCACCTAATAAATATTTTGCGTTCACACCTCTCAGTTCTTCCACGTTGACTTGGAAAAGTTCACCATGGACAACTTACATCAAAACACAAGCCGGTCTGGATACAAACAAGACGTACGTTTACGCGCTGAGATATACGACGAGAGGGACCGTAGTTTGGCCGGCGGCCAACAATTCTAATATACAAATCTACGTTGATTTTTTTAGTTTCGCCTTTTAAAGGATAAATGAACTTGACAGCTGCTTTTGCTGGAAAACGCGCGCGCTGCCGAGAGACCAAAATAATGTGTACACAAAGTTGGGGACTCTCGGATTTGTAGCTAATTCCAGCGAGATTTTTGAGATACAATTTGAAGATAGAACTGTGGCAAACTATCCGGACACGATTTTTGTATTTTTCTTTTTTTATCAAAACTATTTTAACTATTTTTAGTAGTAATTTTAAATAAGAAAAACATGCGGGTATTAATTATGCACTGAATTTCAAAATATTGTAATTTAATTTTGATAATATTTGGCTCATATTTGACAGCCAAAATATGCAATTTACATTCGCCATTCTACAATGTGTCAGAGAAAATAATAGAAAATTTTATTCAAGTAAGCTCATCAATATATGCTCAGACAGTCAGGAGGCACTTGGGGCGCTTATGAGCCAAAATGTATCGTCGAGACTCGTCTGGGAGGTGAACTGGGAACTCTGGCTGGAAGCAACCTAACCTTACAGAATTAAATTATTCTGGGTACCGGGCCACAGCGGCAATCAAGGCAATAAAAGCGCCGATGAGCTAGCTAGGCAAGGATCATCGGCATCTTGGTCCAGAGCCAGTACTGGGAATACCCAAATGTATGGCCCGTAGTGCACTAATACTCTGGATCAGGGAAAAGCAGAATGTCTACTGGAAAAACAGACAGGGGTACAGGCACAGTAAGGCTTTTATCCAAGGACCTAGCTCAAAAACCGCAAAAGAACTACTAATAACCCCTTATTGTGAAAAAAAAACTATTTTTAGTGGTAAATTTAAATAAGAAAAAAATGCCGGCATTAATTATGCACTGAAATTCAAAATATTGTAATTTAATTTTGATAATATTTGGTTCATATTTGACTGCCAATATATGCAATTTAAAAAATATTTTTAGGAATAAGAAATGAAGTTTAGGTCATTATCTACAAAAAAGGTTCCGACACTTTTTTTCGTAAAATCCCGGGAAAATGTTTAAAAATGGCTCTAAAGTGTCCAAGAATGGGTTTGGGTTAATACTGGCCGAAATGTGGCATGTAGATAATTTTCATGATCGCCAAATTGAAGATTGGGTCCTTATCTAAAAAAAATTATCCCGACACTTTCTTTCGTAAAATTGTTCGTAAAAAGAAACCAATTGGACTATTCGTAATTATGCAATTTTCGATTGTTTACGGCATTTTCCGGAAATCCCAAAAAAGCGGAAAAAGCCATTCACGAATAGTTGTTTTTTACTAAAATGTGATTAAACAAATACTTTAAACGTTCTGAGTTGCTTAAAGGGACTCTAAGAACAACTGTTAAAAAAAATCTTGACGAATAAGCTATTATTAGTGAAAATATGAATAAGTTTGTGAAAAATGAAAATTTTTGGGTCAAGGAATGTTTCCCGGTTTTTTTATTATCATAAAAATACGACAAAATTCAAGTAAGTTCCAAGATGTCATAGCTGTTGATTCTACCTTTGAAACGAACTTTGAATAATGAAGAAATATTAAATTTTATTCGAGTTATTAAACCAATTTATCCACCAATTATATGCTTATGAAATCTATCTTCGGAGCGTTAAAACTTGGAGAGAAAATTTAGGGATCTTCTAGGCGGAATATCCCGAAAATTACTAACCTACGTAAAAAATGTTTAGGTCCATTTTTGTTAGGTAATTACCTATTCTTCATTTTTTGTTTCTACAAAAATTTTGTAAACAGCATATTTTGGCAGATATTTCCGAAAAACTGATTTTTGGACAATTTGGGGCTTTTAATGGCCCAGCTGACGAATTAGGCTGTGGTTTCAACCCTCATTTACTGGAGTTAATTAAAATTAATAAAATATCCTGGCAAGACCTGCGGTAGTCAATTGTATCCATAGAAAAAGCCTAATAATTAGCTTATAAAACAAAATAAACTTTTGATTTCTAACTACAATTTCTCTTGATGGATGATCTAAAAGGCATTAACATTACTTGCAAATTTTGAAGTGTAATCAGTGGAAAATATTAGAAGTTTGTTCACTTTTTCTACTAATTGGAAATTGCTACCATTAATTTTGACATTCTGAACAAGGAACTGACAAACCGAAAATTAAGACGGCCATATTCTACATCTACTTGACCTAAACAATTTGATATGCTCCATCCCTCGCTCCATCCTTAGTTCTTTTATTCAAAGATTGGTACCTACTTATTTACTTTATTCAAGGACCGCTACTGAATTATCATTATATCTTCTACTCCTTCAACGGCAAATTCATATATTA